AAGTAGAAGTAGAAGTAGAAGTAGAAGTAGAAGTAGAAGTAGAAGTAGAAGTAGAAGTAGAAGTAGAAGTAGAAGTAGAAGTAGAAGTAGAAGTATGCTATGACACGACACTCCGGTCGGTCTATACGTAATATATTATACGATGAGACGATCTGGAGAATCATGAGCATCAGAGTCGCTGCGAAGGGCAGTCGAGCTTGAAAAACTGAAACTGAAATGAAAATCAGCGACATAGCCACCACCAACCAGACCAGACCAGACTCAATCCTAGATCCCAACCCCAAGCCCCAACCTCAGCCTTAGATTTTGGCAAAGATGCTGCCATGGGAGGCTGCCACCACGCATCGAGCTAGCTATATGGATGACATATCATATCTCATCTCATCTCATCAATATAGTGGATAAGAATGAAGGGTGATGGTATCGGATACCTTTAGACTCAAGACAAGACTCAAGACTCAAGACTCAATGCAAGACTCAAGACTTAAAACTCAAGACTCCAGACTCCAGACTTAAATAGACTTAAACTCAAGACTTAAACTCAAGACTCAGGTCTTCTCCGATAGGAATCCATCTAGTTCTTAGCGTCCCGAGTGTCCCGAACACGAGTCTCAATCTCGTCCTTCTCATCATCCTCGTCCTCGCCAACGACAAAACCGCCGCCCAGCAGAATGGCAGGCTCGTGAATATTATGATGCTCGTAGCTCAGGGTGCCGACGCCGCCGGCCTCCATGATCAAGGCGGTTTCGGTCAACGGCTTGCCGACCCAACGTATAGCAAAGGCGCGCAGGATATGACCGTGGCCGACGACCATGACGTCGCCGGAGACGGCCGGGTCCTTGGGCTTCCCGATGACGGGGACGTGGTAGCGGTCGCGAATGTCGGCGATCAGACTGTCGACGCGGCGGATGATGTCTTGGGGCGATTCGCCGCCGGGACAGCCGTCGCGCCAGATATCCCACGGCGGCAGGTTCTGGCGTTGGCGCCGGTCGCGGATCTCGGCGCTCGTCACGCCTTCGTAGTCCCCGTAGTCCCATTCGGCGATGCGGTCGTCGACGGTGACGCGCGCGTCCGTCCGGTGTCGTGGCGGGCTGGACTCAATATGGCCGTGGGTTGGAGACTGGTCATCATGCTTGCCGGTGCCGGTGCCGGTGGTTTGCCACGGATACGGGTCGTGGCATCCCAAATTGAGAAGCTCAAGGGTTCGCTGCGCACGACGACGCGGTGAGACGTAGCTGCGAGTCCAAGGAGATCGTGTTAGTCAAATGCGTCCCTGTCACGGTCGCTGCCACTCTCACTACTATATGCATCCAACTCGCAGCAAAGACAAACTCCCAGCAAAGACAAACTCCCAGCAAAGACAAACTCCCAGCAAAGACAATTCGCAGCAAGACAAAGAGACAGGAAGCGATCGATCTGCTGAGGGGTGGTGGATGTGTGTAGGTCGAGGGAGGTAGCACATAAACATCATCATCACCACCACACCACCATCACCCCCACATGTTCCTGATGCTCCTGGTGTCCCTGGTGTTCCTTGGGTGACTGTCTGCTATGTCTATTTTCCGATATTCCTCTTCGAGTCCTTTCTTCTTGGGGGTCTGTGGGGTCTCGGAAGACTTACATATGCACCAACTGCCTAGGCACGATCAAGCGGTCGTCTCCTATCAAAGCCCTGCCCGTGGCGCGCACACGCTTCTCGCCGTTCTTGGTCAGTGGGATATCGGTGCTGCCCGTATGCTTGCCGGACAGGGACCACTCGGTTTCGCCGTGGCGGACGATGAAGCAGCGCGGTGTGGTCATTGTGTAGAGTTTGGTCTTTTGATCTCTTGATCTTTCTAGCTCTTGTGTCTCTTGATCTTTCTATCTCTTGGGTTTCTTGATCTTTCTGCTTCTGTCTTGTTTCCTCTCTTCCGCCGTTACCGAGCCTCAGTTTAGGCGTCGGCTTCCAGACCGGGTCTGGGCACCTGTGACCTGTGACCTGTGACCTGTGACTTTGGAGGTTGAGACGTAGCCGTGAGGTGTAGGAGGAAGCTGAGGTCTCGCAATGTCGGTCCGTCAGTCCATCCGTCCGTTTGGATCGAGGTGGAAGTGGAGGAGGCAGGATCCGTCGTTGTCGATGAGTAGGTACTTGGGCACAGAACTAGAGGTATTAGGTACTAATCACCAATGGATACAACGCGGGCAGAGGGACCATGAATGAGTGCCTAGGTATGCCAATCAAGGTCTATACCTACCTAAGGTCACTCACTGCCACAACAGGATCTGTACTGTACCTACCTATAGGTAATGAGTAGGAGAATTTAGAGGTGGTAAGGCAATTAAATTACTAAGGTGAGGTGTAGTCATCATGGCCGCATTGACACATGCTGCATGTTGCATTTTCCCATTGAGGGGATCATTATTTACAGTACAGTACGCAGTACGCAGTACTCCGTCCAACCTTAGAGTACTGTAATTACCCACCTAGTAGTACCAAATTTACCGGGGGTGACAGGGAAGCCTAAACCCCTCGAATTGAGGATTGGGATGACGAGATGGGGGGGCAAAGGATGCTCAGCTACAGGACTCAGTTGAAGCTCGGGTTAAAGCGGCCCTACGCGCACCCTCAGGATCAACCCGTACGGAGTATATCTTACAGTATTACAGTACGTGACAGTACAGTACTTCCAAGGCTGGCCGAGTCATCGACATGTCCCATGTATCTAGCTCAGGTAGTATAGCGTTGATCAATGATACTCTACGGAGTACGGAGTCTACAGTACCTTAGTTAGGTACTCAAGTACTCCCATCGTATCTAATATCTAGGATCCAATTCCCACCGCTATCATCCTCACTCGAAGCTGTGTCTCGACTCTCGAATTCCAGCGCATACAGAAAGACAGTGTACAGATACTCCGTAGAGTCAATCAATATCATGCAATCTACCCAAGGTATACCGTATCCCTACATACTTCATCTATATCCCTGGCCCTACATAGCTGGTCACAAACTACGCACTCCCTGGACAACTCCGCAAACTCAAGTCGCTGTGAATGCCCTCGATATCCAGCACGGCCCCAAACTTCACCGTCGGATTCGGATTCAGATTCGGCCTCACCGCCAGAATGCAACGCTGCATGTGCTGCCACAACTCCTTGGCCTCCTTGGCCTCCTTTGCAGAAAACCTCCCCATGAAGACCGAGGCTGCGCCAGGTCATCCTTGAATCACCATCGGAATCATTCCCGTCTCCTGCGACTCCCTGCCTGAGAAGGTCAAGTCCAAGTCGTCCAGATCCTCCACCGCCACCGTGATCTCGGCCCGTTCAGCCTTCTTCCGTCTTTTGTCGGGTTGAGGCTTCCTCGCCCACCCGATCAGCACCTTCCAGCCCGAGCCCATCTCCTTGCCTTCTTCAATCATCTCATCTACCCCCTCCAACCACCGGTCTCGATCTCGCCCGGCCTCCGCTCGGACCTTGATCAACCACTCTTCCCACATCCGAGCCCCGAGGAGCCCGGTCAGATCAGCCACGTCCTGCGTACTGCCGACAGGACCTTGCACCGCTTCCACGTCCATGTACTGCTTGACGATCTTGCTGATGGTCGACACCTCGCTGATCGGTCGGGGTGCAGGCACAAACGGCTTCGCCCCCTGCCGCCACGACTGCCATCCGCCCGTGTATCCGTCGACATGCTCTTCCGTTTCCTCGGGCCGCCGATGGCCCATGGGCAAGAACATCCATGCTCTCTTTACGCCCACGAACCCTTCCTTCTTCAACCGCCGTAGCCAGCTTCGGCCGGCCTCCCGCTCGTAGCCACGTCGGTGGAGTTCGAATCCAAATTCCACCGACATGGCCTCGGCTCGTGGTCCTGCATGTGCGATTGTCGAGTCCATGATCATGTAGTCAATATAACCCCCCGGTTTCAGCACTCGCAGGCATTCTCGCAGGGTTAGGTCCCACTCGTCGATCTCCGGCACCCCCGGGACCGGATTGCTCTTGAGGAGAGCGTGGAGGCTGCGTGCGGAGATGACATCGAAATGGCTACTGCGGAACGGCAGCTGCCATAGATGTGGCACCGACACGGTCCGATGGTTCGTTGGAGCTTCAGGTTTGATGGATCCGGGGGGCCGCTGCCACTGCGCTTGATCTTTGGTGATGACGGTGTAGATCTTGACGTTGGGCCATTCGAGCGCGGCATTCCATGCCCATGATGCCGAACTGGTGCCTCCAATATCCAAGATGTGGATGCGTTTGCTTCCCACACACGCCGGATCGTCCAACGGGAGGGTGGCTTTGGTCTTGAGCCGATGACAAGCCGCCGCCGAAGCAAGAAGACGGCCACGGTACATGGCTCTCAACGCCTCGATCGGCCAGTTGGAAGGCTCGACCGACGCCAGCGCCAGTTGTTGACGTTCGACCGTTTGGAAGACCAGTTGCTGGGCCGAGCGCTCAAAGACCCCGGTGACACGTGGATTCTGGCGGAATGGACCGGCGTATTTCGGCCGCACCGGTTCCACGAGGATGTGCTGGCCCAAGAGATTGGTGACATGCTTCTCTGGCATGGCCACGCGTGCAGCTTGAACGGCTTCCAGGCGTGAAGTGGCGTGGATGAACGCGTCGCGGCGCTTGCGGTTTCTGAGGAGGTACTGGAATGCGGCCAGAAAGATGGGCTCTTGGGCGGCTTCCGGATCGCTGCAAGGGCTGTCCATGTCAGGCCCATCGATGATGGCGGTGCTACTTTCATCTTTGCCCTCGTGGGCAGCCACCGTTACATTTTCTCCAAGCGGTTTGGGACCAACCTCGACGTGATCCACGGCCAATGCTCTCGACTCTACCTGGGCTCCAAAATTTGGGTCGAAGCCGAGAATGGATGACAAGTAGCCTGTTTGTGCGGCGAGCCACGAGCCTGTGCGAGCTAGGTTTTGGCCCGCCGCGGACTTGAGCTCCACGTAATATTTCTCGTCGTACTCGAAACTGACCGGTCCAGTTTCGACGGGTCCTCCAGCATCGGTGCCCGAGCCGTACAGGTCGCCATCCTCCGACGGCAAGGCTTCCCGTCCCGGCCCCTCCGTGATCGGCGCGGGTGCGGGATCAAACTGTGCTTGTCGTGCTGTTGGAGGCCCTTCGGTCATGTTGGTGTCATCGACCGTCAGTACGGTCTCGACCACATTGAGTGAACTCGAACTCGGACTGTCCCAAGGTCGATTGTAGAACCGCTCTGCCGTCGCCGTGTTCGGCACACTCGGGTCTCTGGACTTGGTGAGGCACCAGGTATGTCGTGCGCCATTTCGCAAAGAGGAAAAGAATCCCCCGGGCGAGGGAATACTCAGTTGCGAGAAACTATAGTCAGATATAGGGGTCTGGCCATCTGCACTGCGAGGTCGACTTGCAGGTTGGGGATCGGTGAGCTCCCGCATCTCTTGCTTTTCCCCCAATCGCTTGGACGGACGTGAGCCTGAAGAGGAAGAGGAGACGTCATCAGGACTTCTTTGGCGTGCCAGGCGCTGGAGTGTGCGTAAAGCGTCCGAGGGAAGCCTGACCCCTTGATCGGAGCCATTCGATGGTGCATTTACCTCGTCCAGCTTGTTGATTTCATCTATCGTGGGCATCAAAGGCGACTGATCTTGAGGCGTGCCTCCCGGCACTGGCGGGAAACTGACCACCATTTCCGTCCAGACAGGTGAAAGAACGCTGGACAATGCATTTGCCGAGTGGGCCTCTGCCGGTGAGAGGATGACACTGTGGTCGTCATAGAGGGCTATTTCGAGGGGTCGCGAGTGAAGATGGATGGGTGTCGGGCCACCCCAGCTCTCTCCTGGTCCTATCTCCAACTGCTTGATATCTGGAGTTACAGGAGCGCTGGTTCCCAGATGGTCTGGAGCCTCTGACGTGGTACTGTTGCTGTCTCCGAGTGAGGGTGGTGCGCTGCCTTCCGGGACGCACCTGGGAAGGGCGGAGAGTACTCCGGGCGAGAGGCGGATCTTTGTCGCCGGGGACATACCCAACGGGATTTCCTTGACGGGACTATCACCCATCGATCCCCACGAGTTCCTGGGGATCAAAAGAGCAGGATATCTGTTGCGGCTCGATCGGTTGATGCTGGCACAACTGTTCCGGGTGGATTCCGAAGCAAAGCTGGTGGGATCGCTGGATAGGGAGGCATCGTCGCTGAACACGGTGCCCGAGTCACTGCTGTACGAGGTCCGAACCGAGGCGCGGTGGCAGCCTTCACCTTCCCCAACACTGCTCGGCGCCGAGGATGAGCACGATGAGACGGGCGAATCTGCAAACGACGTCGTGGCGAGAGAACTCTTGCGAGGTACAGCGGTGAAAGTCTGTGGATGCCATCCCACCAGAAGACCCTTGATGGTCGAGTCACTCCCATCTCCCTCACTGTCGCTCTTAACGCCCTGACTCGCTTCTTCCTTCTCCTCCACAATCGTATTAAGCTGCCGACCACGGCTCAGCCGGGGTGGAGCGGTGTAAGTGGTGGAGGGTAGCAGGCTCATGTTTGCTCGTGAGGACCAGCCTTCGCCCGAGAATGTACTGTACAGGTCTTGTCGGTCGGAGAAACAATCACAATCGACGCTGTCGCTTTCGTCGGGCCTTTGTCAATTACTCATAGGTGGTCCGCCTTCCAGAGGCGTTAGATACTGTGAGTATCAAATGGGTATTAGTAGTCGTAGGCGGTGCCGATCAACGGTCACCGGCAAAGCAAGGCGCAAAAGAGAAGGGGAAACGAGGGACCGGCTGAGGGCGACCAGCAACTTCAGCGACGATGAGGTTCAAAGTGAGGAGGCAAGGCTTCTGAGAACATGAGAGTGGTAAAGGTCAAAAGACAGCAGGTTGGGCAAAACACAAACTGGAACCCCGAAGCGCCCGTGAGGACCAGATTTGGCGCTGGCAGAGCGCGAGGGGAGGATTCATTGCGCGACAATGCCAATGTCACACACATCTTGTCTCTCACGCATCGGGAGAGATACAGGCCGGGGGGGTCGTCGATTGGACGGAAGCACAGCAACCATGGTCTGGATGGCAGAATCAGGACAGCCGAGGGTCGGGGGAGGGAGAGCGGGCCAATGCGAGGCCTCGAGCCGCAGGAACTGGGCGAGACGCGCAGCAGCAGCAATAGCAACAGGAGCTATGCGGAGCTACCATGAGGTATGTGGTGAGACGTGTTGGCAAGAGGTTGGATGGTTGGTAGAGGGGGATGCGAGCAGGCGAGAAGGAGGGCGCAGGATGGACGGTGGTTGGATGCTGCCATGGCTGGTCGCTGGTCGTGCCGCATGCCGGGCGCTTACAGCGAGCGACGAGCTGCTGCTCTATTTATGGCACATTTCTCAATCGTCAATCGAGTGAGTCAGCATTGCCGGCCATGGCGTTCGGAAATATCGCATCTCGCACCTCGCATGCTCTTCGCCATTCGCCATTCTCGAACAGAAAGAAGATGAAGTTCATCCGGGGTTGTAAGAGGGAAGTCAGAACTGCACAGCTCGTGGTGAACACCTGACACCCGACACCCGTTTCGAGCCAACAGTGATGCCGCCCTGCAGAAATCTGGGATTTGATTGGCTGTCTAATGTAACGGCCATTGGCGCTCGTACCTACCCAATAAGCTTGTGTAGCTGATTAAAAGCGGCGTCGCTGAGATACCATGTACGGAGTACTCCGTGCTACGTACTACTGGGTATCAGATATCAGGTACTTACCTACAGTCACTGGTGACTGAGGATCCTCATCCTATCTCGCTGACACTTTGGGCGCAATGTCTTGTGTCTCGGGGAGTCTGAAGAACAAGAGAAGCATCGACTTGGTACCCGTTAGACCTTAGACCTGCCCATGAACAGCAGCCACAGCCATCATCATCACATAACCCACACATTAGGCATTCCTCTTCCATTAGCAGCGACCTCGACCTCGACCTCGACCTCGACGCCAACATGCCCAGCAATACCACTATCTATACCATTCCAGCTCGCACAGGGGACTATGTCAGCCTCCAGGCCGGGCAAAAACTCAAGCTGATCAACCCGCACGGCAACCAGGTCATTGACTTCTGGGCGTTCGTCTTCGCGGGCGGTGCTCCCACCAACATGCCCACGAGCTTCATACGATCCACGGCCACATCCCCATCCACAGCCCCATCCCCAGCAGCAGCAGCGACAGAAACAGCAACAGAAACAGCAACAGAAACAGCAACAGTAACAGCAGCAGCAACAGCACCAGCACCAGCACCAGCCCCTTTCCCCTTTTCCACCGGTGTACAATATTTCTCAGCTTCACGGACCCGCTCGATCCTGTCGAAACTGGTCCCCTCAGCCGTCGACCAGGACGTGCTGTACACGAACAAGTCGGTCCCGCTGTTCACGCTGGTGGAGGACACGACGACGGGGATCCACGACACATTGTTCGGCTGCTGCGACCGGTTCCGCTACCGCAATCTCGGCGTGGGCGATTTCGAGCACCCCAGCTGTGCGGAGAACATGCATCTCGCGCTTCGGAAGGCGGCCGCGGCAGGACTGTTTCCGGCGGGATCCATCTCGTCGGAATGGACGCCGGATCCGTTGAACGTCTTCATGAATGTCCCTGTCACGACTGCCCTGGACCGGCCGTCTGGTGGGGGAAGAATCCAGTGTGTGCGGCCGGAAAGCAGGGCGGGCGAGTACATTGTGCTCCGGGCCGAGCTGGACTGTGTGGCGGTGATGAGTGCTTGTCCCAACGACATCATATCGGGCGTCAACGCCGGCCACTGTACTGGTGTCGAATATGAGGTGTTGTCTTGAGACTTGAGGTTAAGGGGTGTTTGTGGAAGTGTAGACTGGGGCGGGGACGGAGACCGAGGACTACCGCGTGTTATGTATATAGACCAGCTCGTGTTGTGTTATGTATATAGACCAGCTCGTGTTGTGTTATATATAGACCACCTCGTATTAGGTATATAGACCACCGCGTATTAGGTATATAGACCACCTCGTATTA